TGTGTGTCATTTTAAAATAAAACAGTCTGTTTTAGAAATCATGAACATCGTTCTATTGCAAGTTCTGTTTTGCGCGATTGGACGAACGAAATCGACAGGTTTGATTTTTCAAAGGGGGATTTGTTTTTTTTTTTTTCGTGGTATGATTTCATTGGTAACGATTGCAAAAAGTTGGAAGGAGGGTTGATTGTTCGATTACAGAAGTACAGAGGGCATAGGGGTCTGGTAATAAAACAAATGTTTTCTAACGTATATATCCGGAACACGTTGGTTAAACAGAATCGGACAATAGACCGAGCAACGGTGCAAGGGGAAAACGCTGTTCGAGGCGGTATTGTATAATTGAAAGCAAACACGACCGACTGATCAATAGAGTAATTAAAGCCCTAAATGAATAATTAGACGACGTGCTGTACTACGACCGCTTACAGAACGATGTGGTCTCGAGGTTTGGAGAAAAGAATTCCTTGGAAGGTATTCATGGGAAATGCATTTTTCAAAATAGTTGGCGGAACAGGCGAACAAAGGACTGATTGTGTAACGTGAAATAAATAAATGAAATAACAAATGGTGTTGTAATATTGCTAGACTAATTTTCAGAAGCAGTAATTAAATAGAAATTTAATTTTTCCATTAAGGGTAAAACTGTTAAATTTGACAGTATGGCAATTTTGGTTAAACTAGTGAACATTAAAGGTTTCTGAAAACATACGAATTCATAAATTAATTAATTACTTTATTTGAATGAGCTGCGAAAAACTCTGTGTAATCTACGTTTAAATTTCTATCATTTTTATAAAAGTTCACAAATCAGCCATTTGGTCCTCTGGTAGTTCCAGTGTCGAGGGTGTTGCTAGTTTGAACCGAAAGTAAAATTTGTATTTTACTTACTAATAATTCTACTGTTGCATAATTTAATTAGGAATCAGAAAAATTAGAGTTCCGAATGAACTGTTTTTTCGAGGACGGAAAATAGTGTGAAAAATTCCAAAAAAATTTGGGTGTTGCCTCCCCCCCTTTCCAGAGTTACAAAATTTTTGCGTAATATTTAAGCCCTAATATTACAGCCTCTATTAACAAAACGCATACATTTTCAACGATTTATGATTTTAAAAATAAGGTATGTCTGACTACGTATAGCCTTTTTCACTGTGGCAGTCGATGTGTTAATATTTTTGCCCCTCCCCCTTCACTGATACCTTGCTACGCCCATGTTCGCCAATTATAGTACCGAGCAACAATTAAAAAGCGCTCCTAGTCGCACAATGTGGGCAGTATAAAAGAGGCTGGTTTAAGATTCACTAAAAATCTGGCTGGATGTTCCGACGAAACGTCGACTCTTTTTTTCCCTCCGTTCCATTGGTACATGATTTATTATCCCACTGATTGTTCAATTCCACCGTTCAACAATCCGGATTTCAGATCTGCTTCCCATGGATCATCGAGCGATTCTCCTATCGATCTCTCCGTTGTATTGTTGCGTGAAATAGTAGATTTCGCGATGATATTTGATTGCTTGCGTGCTCACTGCTCTTTTCTCCCTTTATTATCATTCCCCAGCTTCGCCAGACATTCATTCCCTGTTGGGTGGATCGAACTAATGATCGAGGAATCGCCACGGTTATTTTTGATCCAGGCAACGCGTGACCCTTCGAATTACGAGATGGTTTAATCCTTTACATAATCCAACGAACTATTTTCTATCCATTTGATGCTTTGGACGATGTGTCTAGCAACTTGAAATTGTTTATTTCATGTTTACTATTGACCAGTTCATTTGAAATCTCGATGTATTCCTGTGCTGAATGCCTTTTATATCAAAATATAAAGAAAAAAATACAGGGGAATGGTCCTACCCATCCAGCAAAATAAATTTCCCTTCGCGGGGAAAACGGCTGGAAGAAGAAAACGATTACCAAATGGGGGGTAATCTGTATCGGGGGAAAACCAGAACCGAAGATCTTAATCCCTGGGTAAAATCCGCACGGAAAATATTCTTTTCATTTTGTGTACCTTCCGTCCGCCATTTATCACGTCCCAGGGAGTACCAATTTCAATTTAATCGCGATATGGTCGGACGATTAACTAGAAAAAAAGAAAGGAAAATGAAAAGAAACGCTGAAGAAAGATATGGGATAACTCTCGTTATAATCCCGTTCGATCGGTCTCGATTCGTTCGAATCCGATTGACTTTTCTGCGTTGTAACCGGAAGCAAGAGATTCAACCGCGAGTTAGTCTCTAGGATTATCTTGTGAGCCTGGATGGGACGGAATGGGAGAGAGAGAAATAAGAATAAAAAAAACATCAATTATACCCGAGTGTTTTGTGCCGCGGGATTTAATTTTTGAGGTCGGACGACGCCGGATTTTAATTGGAATAACGCCGCTCGGCCGGCAATAATTCATATTAATTCCGAGACCTTAATAACCCGGGTCCTCCGTGATTGGTCAGCCCCCGAACGATGATATTGGATTACACCATTGATTCGTCATTAATATCGATCACGAGCCCCGCCACACGCGACAAGTTTAATGAGCATTCACCGGGAGCACTCATTGTTTCGCGATCACGTAATTAAACAGAGATCTGCATAATCCTGTAGAAACGCTTCACTAGGGGGAACTGTTGGTTTAACGTCTGTGGGGGTAGAGGATGGAAAAAGTGAGAAAAAATGTCGTTTTCTTTGGCCTTTGAAATGTAATTACGGTTTTACTTTTGAATCCCGATAACTTTCCAGGTTTTAGGTTTATGAGATTTTTAATAATTATTTATTTTGAATAAATTCCAGAGACACATTAATATGCAGTATATACCAATCGTCTAACCACATGTGGTCCCTATTCTACTCACGTGTCCATAAACATTCTACTGGTTGGGTCCAGAGTTGGGCAAAATTTTATTCGAATAATACATAGTGAAAAGTAGCAGTATCCAAGAGTGTCATCCTGACTGTTAAACAGTTACTGAAATTAAATAATTATTTGCGAAGTGTCTACGCATTCAAGAGGATATATTAGTTTATTATAAAAATTTCCACGTTTCATCTTTAAAAAATGACGAGGTATTTTGTTCTCTTTTATTTGTTATTCTAAATGCTTTATCCAGATAATGAATTTTCCCATCTCTGGTTTGTCCATACAGCGACTCCTGTACTGTTGGTCTGACCATGCGCGTGTTCATTCTACTTGTTTGACCAGACGTCTGAAATATGCCCTTCCCATTCTGCTTGTTGAACCATATATAACCTCTACATGTACTGTCTGATGAAGCACGTACATATTCTACTTGTTTGGCCAGATATTGCCCCTATTAATAATAGTAACACACACTTTCTTCAATTTTCTCTCCACTCACAGTACACGTACCGATATTAACACTATAAGCGCCATCACGTAAAAAAAATTATATTGATTTTGGCCACTGTTTATTATTTTATTACATAAGATCCAAACTAATACAGGTGACCCCTATTAGGTCAGAATTGATTGTATTCATTTAGATACATATGACGCTTAATGTATTGACTCGTTCCATTCTACTGTTGTCATATGGCTACGTATTCTAAATTCCGAAATAAAATATTCGTATCATGTATTTTTGTTGTATCGTAATAAAAGTTACAAAAGTTCTAAGAAAATGTATTGTTATAACATTTTAATCATCGTTGTAAGAATATATTGGCAAGTCAGTTTGACTTGATTGGTAGTTTTAGTGTTAATTCAAATAGCACAGGAAACGGTTTTTGTCCGAAATCATTTGTCCGGTACTGTATTCTGCCCGACCTATTATTAGGTAATTAAAATACCGAGGTCGGAACGAGAGATTTGCGGAACGAGGGGGTACGTAATCATCGTGCAACTATTACGGCGTGGGTGACATTACGGTTGATCGCCGTGCGAATCAACGTACGAGATATAACATTAGTTACACATACGCGTTTTCTGATATGAATAATCGCACGCTTAATTGCATAAAATAATTCCCGAGGTCGTTATCGACCGTCGTAAAATAGCATTACGCGCCCGGTCCCAATCAATTGGCCGGCGTGGCATTGTCAACAGACGCGCGGCAGCACGTAGTTTAATATTAATGAATGGCGTTACGTTGCTCGAAATTAGCAACCGCCCCCACGCATAACGACAATATAGCTACGTCCCTCTAATGTACGACCCCCACGCGATTCACGTTTTAGAAAGATGGGGGCTGTGCGGTGGAATTAATACACGTTTATGGAAACAATAGGATTAGTGAACTGGGAATGTTTATACGAAATCGTTTAATCTAGGGGAGACCAGGAACAAACGTAACACGAGACGAATATAACAACTATTATAAAACAAATGCCAATCGACCGACAGTCCTCATCTCCCACCTTTACACACAAATTAACTCGTCTTCCCCAATTGACACGTTAGCCCGTAACTGCTGCTAAACTATTATAGTACGATCACACTGCAAACTTAAATCGTATTTTCATTACATTAAAGGTTAGTAGTTACCACTAATTACATCCTTAAATTTTCCCTTATAACATGTATTTATTTCACCACACCACTCCCCTTCATTTATTTTCATTTATTGAAGTAAACATAATCATATTAGATATAAAAACGATAAAACTGAAAATGTCATATGCATTCCTTGCAAATAAGTATCGAAGATTGTGAGCACACAGGTTTATGGCAAGTTATGCAACCATGCGATGCTTTTCTTTCTTTTTTGCAGGACAAAAGTAACAAGTCTTACGTTTTGGCAACTAGCTGTCTTGATAAGTAGCACGACTACACAACAGCGCGTTTACCAGTCGACTGACATATGAATACAGTAGCGTATGAATTCACAACTATAAAATTAACCGCGTTTTCTAAGTTTCAAATAGCATTATGGTCAAATTAACCGGATAGCAGCAGTTAAGGGTTAATACAGAAACTCAATTTCCAGTAGAAAAAAGAATATAGATAATATTACTGACAAGCACATTCTTCGTCTTTGCTTGCAGTCCCTGAGGAGACAACGGCCCCGTGAGACATCGCAGACCAGGCCGGAGTCACGCAGCTTCCCCCCCAGCGTGATTGCCTATGTGTCGGGGGCAGAGGCGGCGACGTCAGCGGAGAGCGGCCAGGACGAGGAAAGGTCCTTCTTCGACAGGCCACCGCCGCCACCGCCGCCGCTTCCGCCGCCGCCCACGCAGCAATCGCAGTCGCAGATCGAGCAGGGTATCGACGGACTATCCAAGGACGAGGAGGACAGCGCGAAAGTCGCGGATCTGCTCGATTCCGCGGCCGAGAGGGAAACGTCCGAGGAATTGGTCAGGTAAGCGTTCGTCCTCGTTCACACTGACATCTTACTTGGAGCCCACAAATGGCCATTTCAATCTTTAGTAATTATTGGGAATAGGTTCTTGCTCAACGATTTCAATGACCTTGAAATATGTTGTCAAGGTCATCGTTCTGAATAATTTTTTCCGAGATATTCGCAAAAATATATTGGATATTATATACTGTATTTTGTTCTGTATGGTTAATTATGTAGAAAAAGGGCATGACCTTGGCTATGTTGTCAAGGTCAACGTCCTGAGTGACCTTGATCTTGAAACAATTTGTAGTATGCTATATTTAGGAGAAGATACATATTTGAAAGAGCGATCGGAGTAGGTCTGACAAGGGATGGCACGGAAGTGTTCTCCGATTTTGATGAAACTTCGTATGTCTGTTAAGCAGTCAAAAATAAGGGATACTTATTTTTGTTTGTCGGCTGGGACAAAACTTTAAAGGGTGAAAGCACCCCTCGAAGTTTCGACCCGAAAGTACTATCTCGAAAACCAGAGGAGATACATGAAAACTTTTAATGGTGCTAACAAATTGTCCAAAATATAATTTCTTTATAACAACAAAATTTCGGATTTTTTTTCTTCTAAGACGTTGATAATGTAGAATTATTCTTGGATCAGAATTGTGTATACACCGTGTCTTAGTAATTGTGTACGTATAGATCATGTGTACTGCTATTGAAGATCTGGAAAACTGATTAATGGAGGAGTTATTGAAGGACCTCTTCAGGTTTTTGAACCAGGTGTCCCTTCCTTTAGTCAGTTTTTTGTCAGATTTTCAGTAGCAGTTTAAACACATCGATCGTTTATTGTGTGTAATGTTCGGTTGATTTATGGAGTGGTTTAATGGTTTCGCAGGTTTGCACCGCAGAAAGATGAGAGGACGTCGATCGACGGACAGGTCAGAAGACCTCGTCACATCCCGAGGGACCATTACATTTCAAGGTGCGAATCAATCTTTATGTCTCCTGTTCCATTATCATTTCAGTGGTAATAATCATCCTCTAATTTGAAAATAATTCCAACTTCCTTATCTGGAACTGCAAACTTAAAAACAATCTTCCTAAATTCACTCCTCCGTTAACAATGTTCGGAACAACTTCGAACTATCGAAAAAGTGTAATCACATTATTCCAACGGAAATTTAAGGAAGAAGACCCTTAACACTCACAAAAACATTGAATAACATTCTTTCTAATATTAATAACATCCAAGTCATGAAAATAGAGGATTTTTCCAATACTGTCACTTCCGATTAAATTCCCTTATTATCCGCGTAAGGATTATGGTCCTAAAGTTAGCGAAGAACGGGAAGCACTGGTCTGGTACTCGAGAGTTAAAAATTTGTAACTGGGACATGATCAGTCTCTTCAAGATTATTAGATCAGAGGCTGAAGCTCGAGTATATCAGGGCTCGACGTCGGAGGGCGAAATAAACGTCCGACGTCGAGTGCAAAGTGTCATGATCTACAACGGGAAGGAGATTACAGAAAAACGAGTTGGAGCAGGTCGAGGTACGACACCTCCATGGGCGAGGGCACCAGAGGGCAGAAGGACGAGGGGGTGACATTGAGGAGGGATTTAACCGGGGGCACGAGGATTTCGCCGAGCACCATCGACCGAATATTCGACAACAGTAACAGGCGGCAATACGGCATGGGAATCGTCGGTAGATTCTTTGGGTGAGTTTAACTTTTCCTATGAAAAAAAAAATTTCTATAAGACTACACTTCGATATTTGTTATTGCACGATACAGAGAAGTAACGATTATTTACGATGCGACTCGATCAATTTATTCAGAGATTCATCTGAATATCTATAATGTTTAAAGAGTAATTTTATATGTAACTTAGGCTGTGAATATTTTTAAATGATTCTATAATAATATTGTGTAAAAATTGAATTCATTTTCGTAACGTATTCATTCATAATTAAAAAAAATAATTCGAGGTCCAATGGTTTTGTTAGGTTAATGTTATTCGGTAATTTCTCTAGAATATTCACCCAATGAATTAGTACGTGCCATTTCCAGGTTTGGTAAATGTCACACGATAAAGGTTGTTCGACTAATATTGCGACAGTGAACTTTTCACCTATGTATTTTTTCGCGGTGCAAAGATCAAATATAAATGCCACAGAATATTAAATAGATTTATGCAAACAACGAAAAACCACGTGTTTGGGTACACACGTTTATTAAATATGTGGAAATCATTATATTGTACATTGACGCCGTTGTTGTTCCACATGGATGACGAAATTGATTTCGAAACGGCCAGTAAATGAATCTCCATATGAATAATTCTATTGGTCGACGTTTCGGTCGCGCTTCGTTAAAATTCTAGCTCGTTTACAATTTATCACAGCCATGACACTCAATCGGCGAGCAATCGAAAGCAGAACAAAAATATTGCACACAAAGAACAACGGTTGCGCGAGAAATTCAAAAAATGGACTTTCAATTCACTACGAAATGGAAATGTTTCACAAGGATTCCTATTTTCTAAACGACTATTCTTCGTTGAGTAGACAAAATAAACTCTGAATTCAAAATTGGAAATAATATCCAAATTATTAGATTCAAATTATTGGTATTACTTATAAAAGAAATTGAAGTATGTAGAATATACTCAGAATTTGATACTGTGGAATAATATCAGAGACAGTTGAAGGAAAAGTACCATTATTATTTATAATTTTTGACCTGGTTACGAATCATATAAATTTGTCAGACATGTCGAAATGGTCGAATGTAAGGTTTCGCGTGAAATAAGACAATATTGCGGCGTTACGTCTTTCAGTTCCCTAAATAGTACGAAATTCAGCAAACGCGAGGGGACGAAAGCGCGCAAATTCGTCTTCCCGAGGCGCGTTCCGTTTCGCAGTTTCCGCGCTCCGTGGCCGTGGGATGATAATAATGCAGCTTTATTAAAATAACTTTCTCGTGGGCTCGGTCGTGCTCCTCCGTTTTAACGATCGCGCGAAGATTTTATCGTGCTGCGACGACCCAGTTGGAGGTGCCTGCAAACTGCGAGTAACAAATGCAGACAAGAAACGATTGTCAGAAATGGGGAGAGACCGTGATATAAATTATATCGGGGTAAATATGTCTTACACCGAAATGGTAAAGAATGTAAAGTGAAACATGATTGTACAGAATGACTCACTGTAACTTGAAAAATATTCGACGAAGAATGTTTTCTGTATAGTTTACTTTTGCTTGAACGGGATAAAAACATACAGGGTGTCATTTAACTGGTGGTCAAACGTGCAGGGAATGATTCTACGTGAAACAATAAGTCGAAAATAGAGAATAAAATTTTTTCATTTGATACTTCGTTTTCGAATATTTTTGAATTAATGTTTCTTTGTCGTGATTGCAGGAGATCTTTTCGAAAGAGCGTGTCTCAGAAGCCAGACGTTAGGAAACAACTGGATGATTTTGAGGATCATCGACCATACTTCACGTATTGGATTACCACCGTTCAAGTGCTCATTTTGATAATCTCGTTAGCGTGTTACGGCTTCGGGCCCGTGGGCATGGACCTTAGTCACAGATCGGGACTGGTGAGTTTGTGTTTGACACTGGCACAACGTAAAGTAATATACAATAAATTGCTACTAGGAATATCAATTTCTAATAGGCGTATCAAGGAGTGATCCACTGCTTCTTAATGAGACTTGTGTTCTTTTCTATGTAGCTCAAAGATCTAGATGATCTTATTTCCATTTGCAATTATTTTCCAACATTCTACACTATTTTCTCCATGAATGATCGAGACGATATTTGCAATTTAAGATATATCATCTCATACCTAGTTTATGCACTTATAGAATATTCGATGTTCTAAAGTGCAGTATACTAAAAACATGCAGAAAGATTGTTCAAGTTCTCCTTTATTTCAACCGTACTACAATCCTTAACAAGGAAAGTAAATTTTTCTTTATGTCCACTTTCAAGAAATTAATCCATAAAATTCTGTATTTGCATAAACATCTACACTCTACTCATAACTTTAAAAAATAATGGATTACTAATCTCTACACCTAATATTTCAACATAGACAAAAAACTTCCACCTAAGAGATCCCAAACATCCTTCCATTCATGAAATAATTTTAATTATACTATAATTTCCATCAAAATACATGGGAATAATACAACGAACGTGCGTCACGTCGATCCTGTTACAGGTTCTCGTGACCAGTCTATCGTTGCAGCAAGTGGACTACCAGGAACCAGCGAATTTTTGGTTTGGTCCAAGGGCCGCGGATCTGATTCACCTGGGCGCGAAGTTCGCGCCTTGTATGCGTCGCGATATCAAGATCCTGAAAGAGATCGATGTCTGGCGGGAAAGGGAGCGCGACACAGCCTGCTGCATCCGAAACGACGATTCCGGCTGCGTGCAGTCCAGCAAAGCCGATTGCTCTGTGAGTTCTTACTTTGATTTTCCATTCGGATATAAAATAGAAGGCGAGCACACCTGCTCCAAATGTTAACCCGAGTATCGTTGCGCAGTGGTTGAAGACCATAGAAACATGGCATAAATTCTATATAAAAAACCTTATTTTATATGTATTTTGTTATTTACCTTCTAAAGTACTAGCCTGGTTAATATTATTTCCAAATTCTATCGAATAATTAAATATATTATTTTAAAATTCATTTTTAAAAAATCCAACTAAATTCAAAGTCAAATTACACGTGGTCCAGGGATTAAAAATAGAATAATTATGCATACTCTAGGTGAGATATAGATGGTGTTATGTAACTGGAGATACAACCGGGAGGGGTTGATTCTACGTGAAAAATAAGTCGAGAGTGTAGAATAAAATTTGTTATTATTTTATAAATATTAAGTTTCAAAGTCGATTCTGGGCCATTCCAGGGCAAATCGATCACTTTTTGGACATGGAATTAGAGGGGATTTAAGTCATAATTTTTCTGTTCCCGGATTTGTTTAAAAAATACAGGCCACCGAAGTTTACGATTTTTGCTAGCTTGTTATTAATATATACTAGGGCAACCGTTCTAGATTAAAATAATCGAAGAACGAACTTGATACGATAAATATTTTCCAAGGTATAAATTCTTAAGTACATCGCTGCTTCACGAAAATAGGCAAAAAGCGTAAACTTCGGCGGCCTATATTTTTTCAACAAATTCAAGAACAGAAAAGTGATGACTTAAGCCTCCCCTAATTTCATGTGGGCTACATCATATTTCATATAGAACAAAATCCCTGATAGCGAGTGGAAAAAATGATCGATTTGGCGTGGATGAACCTTTTCTAGAAATGGAAGTCTCCAATGAAAAACTGTTATTCTATATTTTCGACTTATTTTTTCACGTGGAATCACTCCCTGCCCAGTTGTGCCACTAATTAAATAACACCCCGTATACATAACTATTGACCTATATAGGATCAACTCCTATATTTTTTATTTATCGATCGAATTTTTATTTTTCGAGTATTCACCACGTTTTCGTGGTTTCGAACCACTGTGCATCGTTCGTGTGTATAATATGATCTTCTCTTTTTGCAAACCAACTGGTACGGGGACTGAGATCGACAGCTACGGTAAATTTTCGAAACATTTATGGTTACTGTTTGGTTTAATTGTTAGACACCGAGTTTCTATTAATAATGGCTAGAATTCTGTCGGAGAGTTATACTTTGAAATACGTTGGTCACTAAGCTATGGCCAGCATGATACGATAGTTTCACAGTTCAGTTGTGCACGGAAGAGTTAAATGAGAGCGATACAACCATTTTACAGTTCAATTGTGCATGGAAGAATTTTCTGAAATAAGAATCATCGGAATGTACACTACCACTCGTTAGTATTTATCCACCCATGTTTGATTTTTGTTGTACATCTTACAGTACCGAATTTCAGATAATCGTGTATCTTCTGGATCCATAAAATCCAAAGTCTATTTATGATATTTATGAGTAGTAATACATATCAATTTAACTATTTCTTTTTCGTGGTATAGTAAGCCTTGTATTGTCATTTTTTTCGACACATTGGCTATCAAGATATTTTTCTTAACATCAGCCGAACGAATTATAGTTTGTTACCTGATCTTGATAGCATTCTTTTTCATTCTGTCGTTCATATGTTATCGGTACGATAGAAAATGTGTTGAAACAAATGGCACAGTGATACGATTTATTTTTCTTCGTGGAACACGATGAAATACTCAACGAAACGTATGAAAACTTCAGAACACAATATCGACCTGGAAAAAGTGGGGACCCGGAGACAGCGGACCTGGCGGACGCATAAGCGGATCGGTTTGCGGATTGGATCCGAAGTTTTGCGACGCTCCGGCGAGCATAGCGCCGTACGAGTGGCCGGACGACATCACTAAATGGCCAATCTGTCGCAAGACCAACCCTTTCAACCAACGGTTTAGGTAAATTCGTTATCCCTAAACTCTTTGCTGTTTCATCTGGTAAACTGTTCTTATTTCCCTCTTCGTTTCTCTGAGATTATATACAGAGTGCCTCAGGTAGGGTGGTACAACAGGACAGCCGATGATTCTTTAAGACAAAATAAGTCAAAAAGAAAGAATACAATTTTTTCAGGCGACCCTTGGTTTTCGAGATGATCGAATTTAAAAATTCGTTTGATACACATGAGCAATAGAATAGGACTTGGCTAATACGTCTGTTCATTACAGGCTGTTTCTACTTAATGCCAGCACAAATACATGCATTTTAGATAAATCTTCAAATCCACTTTTCTCAAAAACAAAACCATAAATTGTGGATTTTAGATACCAAACTAAAAGACGAAAATCAGAAGTGATGAAATTGCCTTCGATGCTTCGTTTCCAAATTGTTCCAGTTGTTGAAAATACGGGCAAAATAAACGCTTCTGAAATACGTTTGTTGCGATGAGTTATACTAATTACAACAGTCCATTCCTACTTAAATTTATGAATGAAAAGAAATCAAATAAATGAAACCATCTTGTGAAACAATTGAAGAACGCAAGTAGAATAAGCCGCTGTGTCAGACGTATTTTACGCCTATATTCTCAACAATTAATAGCTTATACATGGTGACAAAATAGGATCCACCGTCTGAAAGTCTCCCATATATTTTTGTTCGTTGAATTGAATAATGTTTAATGTATGCTTGATGAATGGTTAATATCTAGGAAAATTTTGTGCCTTGATCAACAGTAGAAACGGCAGCCAACGGGGCAACAGTAACTTTCCAGTGAGCAGGTACAAGGACAAAATGGCGGAGCACATGGTCTGCGAGGTGATCGGACATCCATGCTGTATCGGTATACACGGGATGTGTCGGATCACCACGAAGGAATACTGCGATTTCGTGCACGGTTACTTTCACGAAGAGGCGTCCCTCTGCTCCCAGGTCGAGTGTTTGCACGACGTTTGCGGCATGATTCCATTTCTTCATCCTGAATGGCCGGATCAGTTCTATAGGCTCTTCACCACCACTTTTCTTCATGCCGGGTAAGTTTGCAATGAAACACTTAACACGTTTGCTATCAGGCATCAGATATTTCGAAGTCAGCATAATTCATTTCATAAAAGCAAAATGTATTCACCTATATTTTATGATATTCATTATCTCTGTTTTATGTATTTCTAATATCTAGACCAGAAAACACTCTTTTATTATTTAACGAAAATTGTTAGTTATATTCCTATTCATATATTGTTCACTCTCGTAATATTTGAAAAAATGATCCCTATTTCCTTTCAAAATTTGAAATTGAATCGAGAAACTCACAAGTTTTTAAAATTAAAAATATTCAAGGTATATTTTTTTATCCTCCATTTTTTATATTGTAATTTTCTCTGAAAATCACGCAATAACCAGTGAATATTCTGAAAGTTCAAACACCTAAGTTATTATTATGGTTACGCAAGAATATATCGTAGTTATTCAGTGTTAAACGAAAATTGTACTGACACGTGATCTCTTGCTCTGTTCACAGAATTCTTCATCTATCCATCACGCTGTTCGTTCAGTACTTTCTAATGCGCGACCTGGAGAAGCTCACAGGCTCGCTGCGCGTCGCTTTGATCTATTTCATCGGGGCTCTAGCTGGCAACCTGGCCAGCGCAATATTCGTCCCTTATAGAGCGGAGGTGAGTTGTAATTCCAATTTATATATTTTCGAACGATTTTATATATTTTCTTATCTGGGTTGTGAGAATTTCGAATCATGAAAACAATGTTTCGAATTCTCGAATATCGAAACTTTCTTGGATTTCGAGGGGTTTCAACGTTTCAAGAAACCCATCATCCCTATCATATACTTTTTCAATGGTACATCCCAAAAAGCCAAACCATCAAAAACATCCTCTTCTGAAATTATAATCCAGATCATTCTCCGATTACCCTTCGTCTTCGCCACGTCGCGATATTATTAGCCGGAGCGTCGCGAAGTTCTAATTAAATGAACTCACGGCGCGTTTCATTGTGTATCGTCGATTTAATCGAGTTCTTCGACCCTGGGGGTGAACGTAATTGCTCGGGGACCACCTTGCGCACCGTGACTCATATCCACGGGAAACGGCAACGGCATTACAATCGTTCGTTTTACGACGCGGGCGTCTTATCGCTCGATAGTTTACCGTTTAACACCTCGGTGAACTTTAACTTACACGTCGATTCCGTTCCGTCGTCTGTATTTCCGCGCCGTTCCATTCCACCGAGTTCGAGCGAAGTCTGTACAGTGATCCTGGATGAACGGAGAGGGAATAAATCGGACAGAAAGTAGCTATTGTCGGGAGAGCTAATACAGTTGAATTCCTCTTAATTGGCTGGGTTAGTGGTAACTTCTGTACGGGGAATGAAGTCTTTACACTGTATTGTGTTAATTAAATAGTGCCCATTACTTGGGTATATGGAGCTGGTTTTAAACCTTGCTGCATTTCCATTTTTTTCTTTACTGTTTAAACTCAGTCAGTACTTGCTATGTAATCTCGTGAAATATCATTCGGTATTTGACTTCATTCAGAGATAATTGATGTAAATCTATAAAGTCCGCTGTCTGATAATTGTAGATCGATTTATGAGAAGAAAGTGTTATATAAATAGATATTTCTTTAGTCATTTAAAAAAATTGATTACTTTGAAAAATTATGTAGAGGCTTGAAACTCAGTGTACATCTTACAATAAACCTTAATATATTCTATTACTATGTTTTTACTATAGTAATATAGTAGTATACTAGTAGTATACTAGAGAGTTGAACTATCGTGTGAATACGTAGCTCAGGTTTCTAATGCTACGTGTTCACTTAAGTATGTTACCCTCGAGAGTTCAACTTTCACATATAAATCAAACAACTTCTAATATGCATTGCCACTTAAATTACAGGTGGGTCCGGCTGGCGCGCACTTCGCCCTCTTGGCCACTCTGATCGTCGAAGTGCTGCATTGTTGGCCGATGTTGAAGCACCCCCGTCGAGCGCTGTCGAAACTGATCGTGATCCTGTTTGCCCTCCTGGTACTGGGCATCCTCCCGTGGGTGGACAATTACGCGCACCTGTTCGGTTTCATCTTCGGCTTCCTCGCCGCGTACGCGCTGATGCCATTCATTTCGTTCGGTCACTACGATCGTCGCCGTAAAATCTGGCTGATCTGGATCTGCATGATCCTGATCGTGGTTCTATTCACCCTGCTGCTTGCCCTGTTCTACAACGTGCCGGTGTACGAGTGCGAGGTCTGCAAGCTGTTCAATTGTATCCCGTTCACGCGGGACTTTTGCGCCTCCCAGAACATCAATTTCAAACGGGAGGAGCCCGTATGACACACGGGGCCGCGGTTCGAAGTCGAATTCGAAGCATCGTCCGAGATGATCCTGACTCGAGAAGGTGGAGAAGGATCCACGGGGCCGTTGATTGGGCTGGCTCTGCTGTTGCTGGTACCTGGACGCGCGAGCCCGTAAGTAGAGACATGAAAGTGACGAAAGTGTCTTCGATCTGTGTTCGCAAAAGAGGAAACGAGCTGCTACAGGAGGATTCGCCATTGGCCCAACGAATCCGGAGGAACTCGTGTTCGTCGCCAACGGACAAACGACACTGCCTTAAAGTTAATAAGAAGAAAAAGAAGAAGAAGAAGAAGAAGAAGAAGAAGTAAAATCATCCCTCCAGGGTTAGGGATAGAGGACTCGTTTTGCATTCTCGAGAGACCCTGGCGGGTGGAAGTGTACATAATATTAGAGAACACGCGCCTTTACCGTGAACGACGACGCGGAGGATCCTTGTTGTTTCACCGAGACGAACGAACGAACTTATACGACGAGGGTGTTCCGTTAGAGGATCTGTTCCGATCCATGGAGGGAGAGGTTGGCTCCTCTGGGCTCTGGTCCCGCGATTCCAGGGAACGAGGACGAGAGAAAACGTGTACATAGTGAAACTGACTCTTGTTACATACGATATACATAGGTACGACGTAAGGGACGACCTTGATAAGTTTACGTTTTTAGGGGGCTGGGGGGGAGGGGACATAGAGGAGCGTGGACGATGTTAAAAGTGATGGGGGACTGGTGTTGTTACGTCCACGACGCGGCGGCAGCCCCAGTGACCCTCCGACGCCGGAACTATCTGTGATGGGCCACGCGGTTGTCTTCGAAGAGTATTTTTCATAAGCCACGCGCTGAAGATATGCAACATCTAGGGAGAATCCGAGAACCGGTTATGTGAATCGGATGAGCTTAATTTTAAGGTCGGGGGGGGGGAGGAGGAGGGAGGAAGTGAACGATTGTAAGATGAGAGGTTGATGGAAGTTCAAAGAGGATGGAGGTCGATGGAAAGTGTTAACGATAAGTCTCCGGTGAAACGAATCAATTTTTTATAATGGCGTGAGAGAGATCGTGAGCAACTGAGGGGAGAGATATCAGGACAATTAATCAATTTCCACCCTGTACATAATTGTAGACACGAGGAGGCTTTGGGGGGAGAACGGACCGAGGTGTGGCACGGATTCCATTTATGGCAAACGATCGAGGGAGCTGAAGGATGAGGTAAAGAGGGGAGGGAAAGGAGAAGCACCTGTGACATTCGTGAATGTGTATTTTATTATAACGGGTATGTTCGTGTGAGAACGTTGTCTCGAGGGGTGAAAGGGAATGAATCTGTTCGTCTGCGTCTTTTGTCGCGTGTCGTGGTGTCGATGTCCATGGGAATAGCAATAGCGAGCACGGTGTGCCATAACGTGGAGATCGTCGCTGGTAAACGTGATTCCAGGTAAGTTTCTAATGCTACGTGTTCACTTAAATGTGTTACCCTCGGGGGTTCAACTTTCGTGTGAATACGTAGCTTAAAGTCACGTGTCACCTTCACAATTTTAATTTCGATAATTGCTCTATACAATAGAAGTCACTTCTACTCTCATGAGTAAAATTTGGAAGAGTCTATTCTTGAGTGGATACAATTGAAGGTTACTCTCGATAACGACTCGCATGTGGACACGTAACATAACTTGGAAACTTATGATCTCGTTACCGGTGTAGCATGCTCGACGAGGATTTCGACTGAGTTGACAGATGACTTATATAGTGTCTACCAATGAATTGTTAGTAAGGCTGGCGTTTATTTAAACGTACGATTAATTCATGCAATTCTCTATTACATTCTCTTTCTATATGATCTTGCTTCGAACGGGGATTACATTATCTGTAGACTGAAGATGTGTATGTAAATTCACATAAACAGAAATTTTTTCGGTAAGAAATTAAAGAAACAATCTAAAGAAGCATTCGTTCCTTTGAGAACATTCGTATAGGTTATAAGGAAACTATAATTTCATTCCAATGAATTACACTGTGTTACTAATGATAAAATGTGAAGGCATGGTTTTCTATCCTCGTACGTGTTGAGCATGCCACGATGACGAGCAATGATTCATGATACGACGACCCTGACAAACAATCGTGATTTTCAATTGTTATATTGGTAATTGCAGCCGATCCGAGCAACGTGGAGCTACATAGAATGTAAACGCACAATTACCAACGCATTGTATTGGACCTATATAGCAACCTAAATATAAACAATTACTAAGTATATAATCAGAAAGCAATTTTTATACATTTCTGTGTGTATTCGTCGCTACTGCATATAATTATGAAACAAAGAATATATTCTACGCGTATATTCTTTTTCCATTTTTTTTTTCTGCCAAGGTGTACATCTCGAAAAGAAGTGAAATGAAATTGACACGATGAATATATAAATTTTTACTTAGACGTGCGTAAACAAATGTAAAGAAAAAGGCAAAATGAATGAGTTCAATTTTAATGTAACGATTATGCAATATCGATCATTTTCCTATTCTTCATTCGTCGCTGTCCGTTCTGGTGTAGGCTGACCAGCTTCTTAAATTACGGCGAGCGCGACAATTACGATAATCGAAAACCATGCTCGTTGAAGGAGCCAAATGTGTCAAAGTTTATTACATTATGTATTTCGACAACGAATTCCGCAATGTAACGTTACCTGAACAATTTTTTATCGCTTGACAATGCTGCGCACAAGCTTCTGACAGGTACGCCAGTAACGACCGGTCGCCATGAATTTCACGTGTTCCCGGGTGGAGATCCGAGGGAATCGACATTATAAAACGATTAAGCGAGAATTAATCAGCGGGCAGATCGTGTGATAAGGAGAGCCACTATATTTTTCATAAGGATTACTTCTGTCTTGATTTATTGAGGGAGAATGAGCACCACACTTTGCTTACGTAACTTTTAATTCCTTGCCTTATGATGTAATTCATCCATTAAACTGAATCCAATAAATATGAATATTATTTTGCAGTTACCGATATGTAACGTTTACTGTAGCTTTATATTTACAACGAATATATCGTTCGTTTATTCGGGTAAATTATTAACAATAAAAACACAGTCGTGAAAAGAATCATAAGACAAGGGGTTATACAACGTTCAATTATAAAATTACAAGAATTAATAACTTGTATTCATTGTAACTTTTATTTCTGTCAGAAGATAGATCTTCGCGGAATTAATATAAATATTTCTGAATATCCAACGTTATCCACGATAAGAATAATCTAAATTTCTCTGAAAATTTCGCATTATTAATTTAGTTTACCTTTAACACTGAAACTACCAATAATTATCATAGTTGAAGAAAGAAAAATTAATAAAATTAATTTACTCGGTTAGATATTGGACTTCAAGTAACTGAAAAGTTTAGAAAATTCATCAATCAAGAGTTGAAATTTAAACAACTTTTACAACTAATCGCAAACCAGTCATTTCCAATACTCTCGTGATTCCAGTATTGATTAACGTTCAGTTATAAAGCACGAATTTCGATTATACACAGTATTCCCTCGTTATAGTAGCATCGCTCGGGTCTGACAGTGCGTTTATAGAGAGCAATAGACACGATTCTGGAGTTGTTTGATCACCTGGCAACTATTCTTCTATTTGATCGATACAAAGAAAGAGTGATAGCAATTTGATCGTCACTATTCTTGTTGTCAACGAGTCTCATGATACAATAAAGAAGCGTTACTGTCATTATAAAAGAATCGAGAAAGCAAGCTTATATAGAGCGAATACTGTAACGTTGCTTCGATTATTTGCTTGAGGACGTGTGAAGCGTGAAACTCGAATGATTCGACGACGCGTTCGAAATTTTGTGATAAAAAATAGAAAGAAAAAAAAAAGCTGATTGAACAGGTGAGAGAACGTGAAGGTTTTCGACAGAAAAAGGTGTTCGCGAGGATCGATCGAGGAATAAAGCGATTGGATTGGGTGAAAGAGGGGGTCCAGGACCTTCGAAAAGCATACACGAACACACAGACACAAACATACACCGGTGACACACTGAAGAACAACTTTTCGGATTATATAAATATATAAATATATAAATATGAGTATATAAATATACACGTATACATAAAAAAAAAAAACGTACGAGTTAAGGAGCGAGGTGGACCGTGGCGATTGTCGACGAGCAAAAAAAACATATTGTTATTATTGTAAATGTGTCATATACAGGTAATAGCATGCCATACGAAGAAGAAATAAAAAAAACAAACCAGCGGAGGGAAACGAGTAAAAAAAAAAAAAAAAATTCGAGAATACCTTCGATATTTCCATACCGATCACGGCGAGGAGGAATGATCGTCTTTCGCCGCGGGGACGATATGTTAGTTGTTGCACAGCGCTTTCGGCCGCCTTGGCTTCGGAAGAGAACGTTGGGGATACGGTTTGGGAAGCAAGAGTTTGTATAAAAGTTAAATAACAATTAATGTACTCAATTAGAATGGTGTTTTCCTCTATTTGTCTGTCATCGATTGATCATAGAACGTCGAAGATATTTTTTTAAAGTTTACGTAACCGATTGGGATTTCTGATTAATCTAGTACGTTCAATTAGATAATTGTTGACGTCCTCGATGAGGAGGAAATTTTTCTTTATTTTCTTCCTATAGATTGGTTGTGGAACACGTAAGTCAATGTTTGTGACTGATTGGTGTTTCAGATTAATCTAACATTTTAAATTATGTAATAAATTGTTTCAATTATTCTGGCCATTCAGTTGACTATGGAGTATATCGATTCATATTTGTTAAAATGTTGTGTATATAATTGGAATTTTTGATTAATTTGATACTTCCAAATGAACAATAAATCGTGTAGCTAATTGAAAAGTGATTTTTTTCATTTTTCTTGCCATTCAAACACAACATTTTAATAAAAATATTTATTAAAATGTTGTGTATTCGATTACAATTTCTCGTTCATTTGATATTCCTTTTTCAAAAAGGTTATTGCAATTCGTTGCATTAAATGTTATCAGACCTATACAATTTTTCCTTTTGTGTATATATTCGTATTTATATTTTGTAATATATTCTTGAAATGACTCAAATATTTACTTTTATTATTAAAAGATTTAAAATACAGTGAAACAGTACAATTGATAGTAAGAATATTAAAATTCTTTAATTTCTTTAAATTCTTTAAAAGATATCATAAATTATATATACAGCAAACATAATATTATTCGAACATAAAAATGTGTACTTCAATTATTTTAATTTTAAACATCCTTTGAAAAATTCAAGCAAATCAGATTTAATCAAAATTGAACATTTTAACTCGCGTGTCCACTAACTCTATAAAATTTCCTTACAAAACGAAGTCGATATACAATTGTAACTATTTATAAAATTACGAAAACAAAGATTTCCAGAATCCCATTCGCCCAAGGGATCGTGCCACTTCCAAAGTCCAGGCGTCGCCCGAGAGTCGCTTGACGACGTTCAATCAGAATGAGTACCATCCGACATAGAAGATCGTATTTGTTTGACGTATGTACTCGTTTTCGAGCGACTCGACTAGCTGAAAACAGTGATGCGGATGCATCCCCCGATCTGCATTCCGCGACGCGTGGAACGATTTACAATGTACACGGAGATCCTCTCGACGATTCGCTCTCGATCCGTCGTGTGAAGAGGGATGATAGCTGATCATACAAACGAACAAAAAAATGAAAGGGAAAGGGTGAGAGAGAGGGAGAGAAAGTGAGTGAGAGAGTAAGAGTGTGTGTAATG